ACCCGCAGCCCGGCCCCCAGACACACCTCTGTGCTGAGCGGAGTGTCCCAGGGCTCAGAGCGGCCCCGGCGCACAGACTGGGGGAGTGTCCATTGTAGGGGCCCCCCTTAACGTTTGGCCGGGACCCCGCCCCTGCCCAGGTCTGCTCTGTGGGCTTGGGAGGGTCACGCTTGAGTGGGGGCGGCTGGGGCCCTGGGTCTCGCGCCCGGTGCAGGAGGATCTGGGTTGGATGGGGATCTGTGGCGGTCTGAGCAATCTGCAGGATTGGGGTGGAACTCAGTGGGGATAGGGAGCCATAGATGGTGCTTGAGCTGGAGCATGGCTGGTTGGAGGGGAAGTCCTGGGAGGGAGGCTGAGGGAGGGAGGGAAGGGGCTGCTTTGGTTTCCAGAGACAGTCAGCCTGGGTTGGAGGTCCTTTGGGGGCCCCCACCAGCAGCTGATGCGGAAGGTCCGTGCTAAACAGAACGGATCCTGAAGGCCGAGTGGGCCAGATGACCAAGGAGGACAGCAAGGGAGGGCATGGCCGGCAGAGGCAACAGCATGTGCAAAGGCCCAGAGGCAGCCCAGAGCAGGCTAAGCTTGAGAAACAGAATCCGGCTGCTGTGGGGGGAGCTGGGTGCCCGGGGAGCCCGGGGAGGCCGCCAGCCCCAGGCCGAGTGGCCACAGGAGCCGGAGGTTAAGACTCTGTCCTGGGGGCAGGGTCTCAGCAGGGAGAGGGTGTGAGCCAGCGGACTTGTTACAAAGACCCTCTGGTTCCCGTGAGGGGAACGGACTCCAGGAGGGAGACCCGTTATGGGGTCTGGGCAGGAGTCGAGGCGCTGGGTGAACCCCAGCTTTCCCTTGGCGGGGGGGTGGGGGGGGTCTGAACCGAGGACATAGCCAGCTCCTGAGGGCAGAGACAGGAGCGCACGGGGCACATGTGGATGGTCACCTGCCTGGTGGACAGGGCAGAGGCGAGGGGGAGTCTGTCCGCGGGGGCCCGGCCACGCGGGGGGCCCTGTGACGGACAGACATGTGCCTTGCAGGTCACCCGCTGTCCCTGGGCCTGCACGACAGCACCCGGCCCGTCCTGCCACGCCCGCCCACCATCTCCAACCCTCCGCCCCTCATCTCCTCCTCCAAGCACCCCAGCGTCCTGGACAGGCAGGTGGGTGCCACCTCCCGGGCGAGGCCTGGTGCCCAGAGAACAGGCCTTCCTCGGGGGGCTCTGTGGAATGGGCCCCGGGGACCTGATCCTGAGGTCCCCCCTTGGGCCCTTGTAAAAGGTGGGGGTGTCCGGGCACTCTGGCTGGGCCAGGGCCTGTGGTAGAGGGACTGCGGCGGCCCGGTGACCCCATGACCTCTGTCCCCTCAGGGACTGTCGGTGCAGCTGCACATCCCGTACTCGGAGCACGCCAAGGTCCCCGTGGGCCCCCTCGCCATGGGGCTGGCCCCTGCCCTGGACCCCAAGAAGCTGGGTAAGGATCGGGGCCTCGCCATCCGGAGGGCCCACGCGTGGTCCAGCTGTCCCTGTGGGGGGGCACCTGGGTTATGCAGCTGTCGCTGAGGGGGGTGGGGGAGGCAGCGTGGCCT